AATTATTGGCAGGTCTCTGTGTTAACAATATTTTTGAATTCAAAACAAACCTAATGAATAACAATTCATCATACAATTTATAGCAACAAAGGTTGCTATTAGAAGATAAAGAAGCTGTTAAAGGGGGTAATTTATCTAGGAAAAATCCGTTACACAAGATTAGGTTGCCATTAGGCAAAGGTTGCATTTATCTGGGTTGCTGTTAAGTGGACGAGACCACTGTACTATCCAAAAAATGAAAAACAATAATAAACAAATACTCTTGAGACATCACAAAATAGTTTTATGAAAATCCGAGAGAGAGGTAGATTTTGTTTATAATTATCAGGAAATAAGCTAAAGGCTTATATGCAAGCCATTAAACAATCAGCCGTATTTCAGGATAACAGAACAAGCAAAAAAAATCAAAACCAACCACAACCCGTTAGTATGGCTATGATGCTCATTCAGTGACTAAATGGATGTCTGTGGAAAAATAACTTCATATCATGAGGGAACAACACTGTGACAAAGATGCAGTTACGTTGAACTTGAATGACATCTGTTCGCATCACAGTTGGGTGATATGATATTATGCAATGTGCATTCAATATCGCTCTCGCTTGACTGAACATTTAATTACAGAAAGCGGTATGAGTTTTATGGTGATGTTAAAAGCACCAGGTGACTTAATTCATATAATGGAAGTGTTAGGAATTTGAAGCATTGCAACATGAGAACGTGGAATGAAATGGAACTGGTGTTTTCAGAGGGAGCCTAAGCTCATAAGCACATATTGTGCTATGCAAGTGGTAAAATGATTAAGAAAATAAAACCATGTAAACTCTTGCTACCTATCCAGGAGTATTTAGACTGTAAAATCCGTACAGAAGTGCCCACAAAAATCCAAAGATTTGTTCAAGGTATTACTGAGGTTCAAAAGCGAAAATGACAACCATTCTCCGGCCTTAGCAGAACACAAATGTACACTTAACAAAACATTTATTCCTTCGCAAGTAGCACAACAACAGACAAGGAAAAGAGCTACAGCTAACAGTTAGATTGAATCAAAGAAGACCAAATCAACTAAACACCAAAGATTATGACAAAGGAAGTACTGATAAAAACTAAAACAACAGATGACAGATCAAGGCAGTAAAGGAATACAAAAGACTCAAGCAGCATTCTTAAACAGATAATATGATGACAGCCAGATTCAGCAATTATAGAGTGAAAAAAAAACTGCAAAAAATAGAAACTCCCTCACACCCCCCCTCCCCTTTAAAGTCACAAAACATTTAATAAATATTAAAACAAAAAAAGCTACAGCAAACATACAAAAAGAATCGACTCAAGTAGGTCCTCTCGAAGGTCTGTCAGGACCAACCCGGGCTGAAAGGTGCAGCATCCCAACAGAAAGACCGAGATGCTCGATAATAATTCTCCCCACTCGGATTTGAAGTCGGACCGACTGCTTGCGACTTTGCAGTTTCTAACTGCAACCTCACAGACACTGATCTTCTATGGTACATAAACATAATCTACTGATATAGAGTTTTGAGTAACAATACCAATTATAATCTGGAGAGTCAAGTCTGGGTTGTTGGGGGTTTATTTAAGTTTAAAGTACTTTCTATGTTGAGCCTACAAAAGTATAGGCTTCGGCCGCCACCCTGGCGAAATTCAAAATTCCTACCAAAACTGAAACTGTAAATACACTAGTCAGTATAAAAACAAGTAGAGTACTTTCGAATTCGGAATGTGGCTGCCTGACCCGAAGTAGGGAAAACGGTCACATGCGTAAATACCAGCTGCCCTACAGATGGGAGAACCAATAGCCGACTACTCATGAGATCTAGCATAGAAGAAAAAGAAATAGTAAGCCCTTATTTCATTCGAAATGTACTAGAGAGAGAGAGAGAGAGAGAGAGAGAGACAGTGAGAACGATAGAAAATGAAGTGGGCAAACAGGCGGAATAGCAGACAGACAGTCAGGCAGGCAGACAGACTGACACACAGATACACAGACACACAGATAGACACACAGACAATCATGGAGACTCAGAAAGAGACAAATGCACTGCTGAGAAAGGTGAGTGGAGCAGGTAGAAAAAAGGGAAAAGAGTGTATTATGTATTTGTATGCGTATGTCTGTGGGGGGGGGGGGGGGATAGAATATCTAACTCACGGACTGTTAGTCACTTACAGGCTGGTTTCTCCAACATTGCTAAGCGGGCGCTATTGCGTGTAGTTCAGTCATAAAGTGGGGACTCATCGCCTCGCTAAAGGGCTCATGTGCGTCATAAAATCCTTTAAATAACTATCGTTAATTCAAAGTGTACCCTGTGGTGGGGATAAACTGTTAAAGCCCCAAGCTCAAAGCTGAAAAGACGTGGTTAATCAAATAAGTGAAAAGGATCATTCTAGAAAAAGGCAGACGGGGGAAAGGAGGACGGAAGGATGGAAGGAAGGAAGAGGGTCGAACGGAAATCAGGAAAGAAGAATGGAGGATGGAGAGTAAATGAGAAAGAAATGGAGAGGGGAAACGGAAGATAGAGATTTCGAAGATTAAGAAGAAGGAAAGAACTTAGGAAAAACACAGGGGAAAGGAATGGAGAAAGGAAATACACAAGAAAGACAGGGAGAATGAACAGGAGAAAGGAAGACATATGAGAAAGGACAGGAGAAAGAAAGAAAGAAATAGAGAAAATATGTGGAGAAAGAAAAAAGACGAAAGAAAGAAAAAATGAAGAAATAAGAGAAAGGGAAAAGGCACGAAGAAGGGAAGACATGGGGAATTTAAAGGGGGAAGACGAAAGGAAGAAGAGGGGGGATAGAAGACAGAGAGGCATAGAGGGAAGGATTAGAAGACAAAAAGAAGGAGGAAAAGAAAGAGAGACTTAATGGGGAAAAGAAAGGAAAAGGGGGAGCACAGGGAAAATAGAAAAAAAAGAGAAGACGTAAGATAAATAAGGAAAGAAAAAAGGAAAACATAATGGAAAATGAAGAAGAAGAAAAGGACAAATAAAGGGAACTGGAAGAAGAAAGTAAGACGTGTGAAAAGGGAAAAAAGGGGACAAATTAACCCAAAGGACATCAAACAAACTTATAAGAGAGTCTGGATGATAATCGGGTGTTGTTTTGTTGTTGTTGTTTGAGGTTTTGTTGTTGTTGTTTGTTTTTTGTTTTTGTTGTTGTTTTTTGTTGTTGTTGTTGTCGTTGTTGTTGATGATGATGATGATGTTGACGTTGTAGTTGTAGTTGTAGTTGTAGTTGGTGTTGTTGTTGTTGGGGTTGGAGGGTGTTGGGTTGTTTGGGTTTTTAGTTGTTGTTGTTTTTTTGGTTTGGTTGTTGTTGTGGGTTTTTTTGTGGGG